TTAGGTTTGCCTTTCCATTCACTTAATTCTTACCTGTGTCTAACTTGCTTTTTAACTTATTCATCACTTTTTCCTGTACCTTTCTTGAAAAGATATCACACAAAATAAACTGCATATTTAAATGTACAATTTGTTTTGTTTTGACATATGTAAAGGTACATATGTCCATTAAATCACCATCAAGATAATACGTTTATCCATCACCTTCCAAAGTTTTCTTGTATTTCTTCATAATCCTTTTCTCCTTCCTCTTCTGGGCCACAACCCAGATCCCCAGGCAACCACTGATATGTTTTTTGCTACCATAGATTAGTTTGCATTTCTGCATGTAGTGAAATAAACTTATTTTTTATTTATATTTTGAGACAGTCTCATTTTATCATGCTCGGTAGAGTGCTGTTGCATCATAGCTCACAGCAACCTCAAACTCCTGGGCTCAAGCGATCCTCTTGCCTCAGTCTCCCACGTAGCTGGGACTATAGGCAGTTACCATAGCACGCTACTCTTTTCTTTTAGAGATGGGGGTCTCAGACTCATGAGCTCAAGCAATCCACCTGCCTCGGCCTCCCAGAGTGGTAGGATTATAGGTGTGAGCCACCATGTTCAACTTAATTAAGTCTTTAAACAAAATTCTTAGCTTGGTATATTCTGGGTGACAAAGGATGAGTGGATTTAAGTCCCTAAGGAGACATGAGGGTTGACTTTGTAGTTCAGAATCCTCAGGAGACAATAGTCCTTGCCAATAGTCCTTTTACTTTGTAGGATACATTATTTTCTAATTTAGTATTTCACTACAGGTGTAGCCGTAGAAGAGCCTGGCTTTCCCTGAACCAACTTCTCATCTTACAAAAGAGGTTTTATCCCTGCCCCTCACAAGTCATTAAAACCAAAGCTCTGCATGGCTGAGGAGTCATAGATGCTCTTAGGATGACTTCTACCCTCTTTACACCTTTGACCTTTACAGTCTTATTTTGCCTTTGCCTCTGACAGTTACAGTAGAACCTCCATATTTGACCACCTCCTTAAGTTGACCTAATTTTCATAGGTTGGACATATACCACATGTGCTCGATGGAAATTCCTTATGTTGAACATTTTCCATATGAGTATGTGGACCAGTTTGTTACAGTCCCTTGAGTGGTCAACTTACAGAGGCTCTACGATCTATTATATCTGCCTTCTTGAAAGCTCATATATTTGAAAAAATTTTAGTATTTTATTTAGGTATTTTATTATTATACACAGTTGGAGGGGTTTTTAAAGGATGTTTACTACATCTTATTCCAGCAATAGAATTCCTATTTAGTCTTGTCTTTGAGCTTAGGAGCAATAGCCAGGGTTTATTCTGCCTTCCCTCTATGGTAGTTCTCAGAGGTGCTTGATATGCTGCTCAGTAGTCTCCTGGGGATATTGGGGGAGGAACACATTTATGAGACGGACTTTACCTAACAAAGGCAATTAGGGTAACTTGGTTCTTTATACCCTCAATGAATCCCCAACAATTAAATAATAAAAAAAAAAGTGTGGTTATAACTGGCCTTACCTTAAACCCGGGGGTTAGAATCTCCCTGTGGGTGAGAGGCCCAAGAACTGGAGTTTTAAAGCTGATGGTGCAAATCTTCAAGAGGTTTGTGTGCCCTCACACTCTCACACTTGGAGTAGTGCGGGGCTCTCAATAAGATCGTTTATGTTCCACGAACAGTGTAGTTCTTCAAACTAGAAGGACAGTTTTATACTAGTATACATTTTATTTCATGGGCGCACTTCCCCATTATCAGATTAAAGTTTCAGACTCATCTTCCCATGGAGCCTTTGTTGTCCACAGCCATCAGCTGCAGTGTTTGTTCTGAGGAGCTGAATAACAAGCAAAGAAGCGTCTTCTTTGGCACATCTCTTTGAACAAAACCTGGGCATCTGTTGCCCCCTCACTGGAACATGAAGTGTGATTTTGCCCGTGGAAGCCCGAAGTCCAGAAGCCTGTGGTGCTGGCCCTCTGCTGGCCACATCTGTCCCAGCTTTCTGGCCGTGCCTGCTCTGTGCAGCTTTCTGCCTCATTCATCATGGCAACACTGATGTCAGGGGATTGCCACATGGTGTCTCTAGCAGCAGACCTTTCTCTGACTTGCAAGTGTTATTCTTCAGCCGCCAGCTCTGCAGCTGTTGCCCTTTTTGAGGCTCCAGCCCGTTTCACTTGACTGACGATGCCTTGGTGTGAGGGATTCAAGTGGAATCTTATTTCCACACTACAGAGGTGATCAGTGAATCCAGTTCACTCCAATGTTTGGCTATATATACGTTGTGTGGTGTGAAACCCACAAGGAAACAGGGCCCTGTAGGCCATTTTCATTAGGCCAGTAGATCCTGATCCTGCTTCTTTAAAAAGTCTAATTATAAATTTTGAGTAGAGATGGGTGGTTCCTTATATTGCCTACCATTTCAACAGAAGAGCCTCCATTGTGAAGTAATCATAAAGATCAGGTATCGTGAGAGAGCTGTTTAACATCTTTTCTGTGAACAAGTAGATAGAATGATATAATTTGGCTTAATGTGAAGAAATTTTAAAATGTTCTTCAATATCTCTTTTAAGATAGTCATAGAAAAGCTAATTGCTTTTATATCATCTCAGGTTTTAGGGGTGTTGCAAGGTTGTTTTTCCCGAGTAGCTACTGAGTCATTGAGATCATTACCCCAGAGAAAAGAGAGAGGAAAAAAGGGTTAAACGCATAGCAGTAGGTTTTGCTTGTTAATTGATTATCTCCGAGTGTGTCCTTATCACTTGATACTAATTCTTCCACCAGAGAGTAAAAGAATACTTCGGAAATTCAATCACTCCTTTTTCTTTCTTCCTTTGCTTCCTTTGATACATTTCTTCACTGTGGACTGGGAGCCTTTTGTGAGACTGTTAAATCATATGTCACTGAATTCATCCTTGCCCTCATGGATTTTACTTTTAGTATAAGAGACAAAAACAAACAAGCAAACCAAAAATACATACTAGCATATGTAGGCATTTGTAGCTGCAGATATTTTGGATTTTATCCTAAGTGTAATAGGAATTTATCAGCTGGTTGAGAAAAGAGAAGGGGATTTAGTTTATTGAAGGGTTGGCTGGAGATTAGATTATAAAGGTGGGGGCAATTGTTAGGGCAAGGTCAGGAGATGAGAAAGATTGGTGGCTTATGAGTGGTGATGATGAGAAATAGATACTTACTATAGATATTTCAAATCTAGAGCCTATAGGGTTTGCTGACAAACTGGTTATAGAGTGTGAAAAGAATGGAATCAAGGATGACTCCTGTTTAAGGGAAAAGCAGGTTTAGAAATGAGGAAATAAGAGGCTATGCAATATTTAGATGCCTATTAGACGTTCAGATGGAGATGGCCGCCCATGTGATTGGCAATATAAATCTTGATGTATAGGCAGAGGTCAGGGTAGACATGTATGTTGGGAGTCAGAAATCTCTAGGTGATGGTAAAGCTGTGGGGGGAGAGTGTGATCACCTAGAGACCAAACACAGATGGTGAAGGAAAGAGTCTGTTATTGAGACTTAGGGCACTCCAACATTTAGAAGTGAAGAAGAGGCGATCCTGCAAAGGAACGTAAGAAAGAGAGAAAAAGAAAGAATATTTCACGAAGAATAGAATGGTCAACTATATTAATTGCTAGTGAGAGGCCAAGTAAGAGGGGGACAGAGAATTACCCCCTAGATTCAACAATGAGTTGAAGAGCAGGAGCTTAGCCCATAGTAACAGTGTTCTCAGAGATGACTCTTTGGAGCAGTCTTGCTAAGAGGAACAGAGGAAAGAAGTAGCTGTTGAGATAAGAGAGCAAGGGAGGGGTTTTTCGTTTAATACCATTCACCCTTTATAACAGAAGAGAAGGCAGAGTATATGGGCACAGAAGCCAGTATCCCAGCATGTGCTGGGAAGATGAAGTTCTTTTTTAATTGCTTCTATTTTAGTGAAATGAGACACAGAATCATGAGCTGAGAGTGAGGGTGAGGGAGAAAGGGAAAGAGGATATTGTAAATTTGAGAAGCAATGACAAGATGTGAGATAAACATTTTGGAGAGTATGTTGCCTAGCATTTCAGATCCTTTTAGACTCTAAGATAAAAGTATAATCTCAGGAATACGAAGTATTCCTATGGCTCCTCTGCTAAAAGGGACCAAAATAGGAGTAGTTCAGGCCCCAAATCATTAAGGATGGCCAGAGTGATTTGTTCAGGTAATATATAACAATCACTTGATAAATTTCAAGTTTTAAGATTTTTGAATAGCTAATCTTTTTCATTTTTTTCTTACCCTTTTTCTTTTTTTTTGAGACAGAGTCTCACTCTGTGGCCCAGGTTAAGTGACCCAGGCTAGAGTGTCATGGCATCAGTCTTGCTCACAGCCACCTTAAACTCCTGGGTTCAAGTGATTCTCCTGCCTCAGTTTCCCACATAGCTGGAACTATAGGTGCCCACCAGGACACCCAACACGTTTCTCTCTATTTTTAGTAGAAAAGAGATCTCACTCTTGCTCAGGCTGGTCTCAAACTCCTGAGCTCAGGGCATCCTCCTGTGTTGGTCTCCCAGAGTGGTAGGGTTACAGGTGTGAGCCATTGCACCTGGATGCTAATATATTTCAAAATGCAAAAGGAGTACATTTATAAGCTATAAAGAATTTTCTCTTGTCTTCCCATCATCTAATCTCTTTTCCTGGAGTTATCAGACATAACACTTTTCTTGTGTCTCCTTTCAGAGATCCATTTTTTAAAAGCTAAATATATGCTAAGAATTTTTATAATACTCTAATAAAATCACTTTAAAATGTTACTAATATTCCTTTATCATCTTCTAATTCATTAAATAACACTTTTCTTTAAAAGATAAAGAGCATCTGTTTTAATACTAACTTTATAATGTTGGCAGCCATCTGGCGGGAGTTGTATCTGTTAGATTTTTCTTAAGAAAAAGGTATATTTAACAAGGTTCTTTTTCCTTCTTTGTCTTCACAGCTGACCTGGCATCTTTAATGGATAAAACATATGAGAGAAAGTTGCCTGTTAGTTCTTTAACAATATCACGGGTAAGATAATTTAAATGTATATATTTTCAAAGAAGAAAACTAGAAAGACTCTCTGGATAAATGAGGCTCTGTAAATAAAAAATACCCTTCATAGGAAATAATGTTTTATAGTTACTAATAGATTTATTTTATGATATAGTAGTAAATTACCTTGGTTGAAAGAAAAGGTAATAAATTTACCAGAGTCCAGTATCAGTACAGGCAGTCCCTGGGTTACAAACAAGATGGGTTCTATAGGTTTGCTCTTAAGTTGAATTTGTATGTAAGTTGGAACAGGTCCGTTTACCTGTTACCTAGAATAGCCTCCATTTGTGAGTACAAGTTGGATGTTTGTAACTTGGGGACTGCCTGTGCTGAAAGTGTTTTTGGTAGCTGAGAAAGTCTATAAAAGAATGGATATTAATGTCCATGTTAACCTGCTGCAAAACAGTGGACAGAGAATAATATCAGCAATAATAATTGATAATAATCATTACTTAACACCAGCTATGCCAGTAATGCCAGTATTAATTTTTTTGTCTATGTTTTTGACTCTGTGGCCCAGGATAGAGTGCTGTGGCATCATCATGGCCCACAGCACCCTCAGACTACCGGGTGCAAGCCATCCTCCTGGCTCAGCGTCTTAAGTAGCTGGAACTACCAGTGCTCACCACAACACCCAGCTAAGTCTTCTATTTTTAGTAGAGACTGGGCCTTGCTCTTGCTTATGCTGGTCTTGAATTCCTGAGCTTAAGGGATCCTCCCACCTTGGCCTCTCAGAGTGCTAGGATTACAGATGTGAACCGCTGCGCCCGGCTCAGCATTAGTTTCTTTACATACATCATTTTTGTTAATTTTCACAGCAACCATCTGAGATAAGCATTATCCCCATTTTACATGTAAGACATGAATGGTTTAATCACTTTCCAAATTCACACAGTTTAAAAGTGGAAAAGTTGAGATTCAAATCCAGATATCTGTGACATTATTCTCTTCTATTGCTTTCCTCAAATATAGCTGGTCTTGTCTTTATCATGAATTCACTTTATGATACGGAGCCCCTCTTAGTTTCCTCATTCCTAGTATAGGTACAACAGTGACTTCCTTGCAGGGATGGTATGATGCCAAAATGAGACTTTAGTTGTGAGAATTTTTTTTTCTTTTTTTTTGAGACAGTCTCACTATGCCACCCTCAGTAGTGTGCTGTGGCATCACAGTTCACAGCAACCTCAAACTCTGGGGGTTAAGCGATTCTCTTACCTCAACCTCCCGAGTAGCTGGGACTACAGGTGCCCACCACAATGCCCAGCTATTTTTCTGTTATTTTTTTAGCTGTCCCGGACTGGGATCAAACCTGCCAGCCTCGGTGTATGTGGCCAGCGCCCTACTCACTGAGCTACAGGTGCTGCCATGTGAAAACTTTTTGTAAAAATTAATGGTACCATCAAATTAAAGGTATTGGCCTGGGTACAATGGCTTATGTCTATGATCATAGCACTTTGGGAGGCTGAGGCAGGTGGATGGCATGAACTTAGGAATTTGAGGCCAGCCTGAGCAAGAGTAGACCACATCTCTACCAAAAATAAAAAAATTATCTGGGCATGGTGGCAAGCACCTGTAATCCCAGGTAATTGGGAGGCTAAGGCAAGAGGATCTCTTGAGCCCAAGAGTTTGAGGATGTTGACAGGTATGACACCATGGCACTCTACCAAGGGTGACAGAGTGAGACCTTGTCTCATAAATAAATAAATTGAAGATATTGTTAAATCTAGAGGAGGGAAAGGAAAGAAGTTATATTTCCTTTCAATTCTAATCCTTTCTTTCTGCCTCTTAATATTCTTTTAATCAGGAAACAATTTAACTGTTCACAATTAAATGTCCTAAGTGACGTATTGGAGGAGAACTGAAAGTTCATTGGTTCATCCCTTGCAAGATGGGTGAAGCCTGTGTTTACGATAATACTCAGTGTTTGTTTAGTTGGTTCTCCAAGGTTAAATAGCTTTCGCATACATTGTCTCATTGGAGACTCATATTCTTCAGGGCAGGTTCCTCTATCCATTTATGCAGATGGAGCAGCTAAGTCCCAGAGGGGCTAGGCCATCTGCTTGTGCCAAAAGCAAACAATCAGAGCTGGTTCTTAAGCTCAAGTCCTGTGTTTGAACCACATTTTATCTTCCCCTTAGTGGGTCTCTAAATCAAATCCAGAAGTCCAGGCATTTTTAGTAGGTCTGCCTCTTTACTCTCTTCTCCCTATTTATGAGGTTTTAATTATATTTGCAACATGCATTGTCTCCTCTATTTTTTTTTTTTATTGTCTCTGAGTCTCTGCTTTAGGCTAGAATTTATCCATATAATAATCTCTTTTGTTTGATTATTTGGACTGTAGTTGAGGAACATACTCAGCTTTTATGGTTTGAAAGGAAATTTTGTTAGTAGAGGAATCATAGGTTGATTAATTCAGAGTAAAATTTAAATCAGAATAGGAAAAAAATAATTATAAGACAGAGTTCCCTAAATCAAAATGTTAATGTTCCAGGTAGTGTTTTTTGAGCCATCAGAATCTTCATCCTTTTAGATATGTGTTTTCATGGACTTAGAGTTTGGAACAGAGAAAATATCAGAGTTTAAAGATAAAGGGAAAAATAGATGACTAGTAGTAAATATATCTGGGGCTCTGTCTGGTTCTGAGCAAGGTTCATATCTGACTTTTCGTTTTTCTGATCAAAGTTATTCTATACGTAGAAAAAGAGAAGTCAGGGTATATTCTTTGTATTAGCATAAAGGGGTTTTAAGGATGGAGCCCTACCATGTGGACATTGTTCCACAAAAATGAACATTGTTTTAATAAAATGGTGTCCTGTTTTTTTCAAGGTCAGTGTTTGACCTAGACCTTAGGCCAAATATATGACATAATTTATATTCCACAAAGAGTTTCTTTTTATGTCTTTTAGTTTGTGGATAACATTTCATCTCGAGAAGAGGTAGACCATGCAGAATATTACCTTTACAAGTAAGTTTTCCATTTGATTTGGCTGCACACTTTGTGATTTCATATCTCTTTTTAGCATAAAAGTAGTATATCTTATCTAGTGTTTAACATTGCCTTTTAAGTTTGTTTTAGAGATCTCTCCATGTGAGTATGCAGAGCACTTGCTTATTTTTTATAACTGCATCATATTCCATACTATGAATATATTTTTTAAACCATTTCCCTTGAAGGACCTTCAGATTATTCTCCTTTTTTGTATCATACACAGTGCTATAGTTAATAACCTTGTATGTATTTTGTATATAATTCTCATGAGAATATGCATTTGTAGTCTTTATAACTATTGACAAATTGCTTTCTGTTGAGATTTTACCAGCTTACATTCCCACCAGCAATGTATGAGAAATGTCTAATTTTAGAGCAATGATTTTCAACTGGTGTGCTATGGCACACTGGTGATCATAAGTGTGCCATGACCTTTTTTTTTTTTTTTTGAAGACAGGCTGTCAGCCTGGGTAGAGTGCTATGGCATCATAGCTCACAGCAACCTCCAACTCCTGGGCTCAAGCAAGTCTTCTGCCTCGGCCTCCCAAGTAGCTGGGACCACAGGCGCCTGCCACAATGTCCAGCTATTTTTTTGATTGCAGCCGTCATTGTTGTTTGGTGACCTGGGCTGGATTCGAACCTGCCACCTTAGGTGTATGTGGCTGGCACCTTAGCCACTTGAGCCACAGGCACTAAGCCACCATGACCATTTTTAAAGATCATTAATTAAATTATTTTTGAAGGTTCAGAGCACAGTAAATAATTCTTTTTTTTACTTTTCTTTTTCTTGAGACAGAGTCTCACTATGTCATCCTTGGTGGAGTGCCATGACGTCACAGCTTAGAGCAACCTCAAACTCTTGGGCTTAAGCTATTCTTTTGCCTTAGCCTCCCAAGTAACTGGTACTACAGGCACCTGCCACAACGCCAGGCTATTTTTTTATTGTTGTAGTTGTCATTGTTGTTTGGCAGGCCTGGGCTGGGTTCCAACTCGCTTGCCAGCCCTGGTGTATGTGGCTGACACCCTAGCTGCTGAGACTTTCTTTCTTTTTTTTGAGACAGAATTTCACTGCATCGCTCTCAGTAGAGTGCTGTGATGTCACAGCTCACAGCAACCTCAAACTCTTGGGCTTGAGTGATTCTCTTGCCCTCAGCTTTCTAAGCAGGTGGAACGACAGGCACCCACCACAACAACACCCAGCTATTTTTTGGTTGCAGTTATCATTGTTGTTTAGCAGGCCTGGGCCAGGCTTGAACCCACCACATTTGGGAAATGTAGCTGGCGTCCTACTCACTGAGCCATAGGTGCTAAACCGCCTACTCTTCCTTTTGATCAATATAATTTAAGTGTGCTGTGGAAGTTTAACTATAGGTTCAAATGTACCCTGAGATAAAAAATGCTGTTTTAGAGCTTACCCAACAGGTGGATATTTTCACATTTTTTAAATTTTTGCCAGTATGATCAGGAAAAATTTTTATATATTTTATATATATGGTGTCCATAAACTTCATGTGCAATTTGAAATAGCCAACTATTTGTGTATATATGTGTTTATCTATACCTATAGATACACAGGTTGAATATCCCTTTTCTGAAATGCTTGGGTCTAGAAATGTTTTGAATATGGGTTTTTTCAGTTTTTGAAATACTTACAGTTAGGGCATCCCTGATGGAAAATCTGAAATACTTAATGAGCATTTCCTTCGAGCATGTTTGTGCTCACGGAGTTTTGGATTTTAGAGCTTTTTGGATTAGGGATACTCGGGATACTCAACCTGTATATGTGTGTGTGTGTGTTTCTTTTTTATGCAGGTGGAAATACACTCTATATGAACTATTAGGCATCTATTTTCAGTTAATACTATGTTTTTGAAATGTATTCTACATTACTGCATTTGCTTTCTTCTTTCTCACAACTGGGAAAAATTCCATTGTGAACCACTCATAAAACTCAACCCATACTCAGAGAAGTATAGCATTATTGATAGCAGCAAAATACTAGAATAACCTAATGTATGTTAAATAAAGGACTGGTCAGATAATTCTTTCAGTTGATTTTTTTACCTGTCAGATTCTGTCAAATTAGTACTTTATGGTTATTTTTTCATTGTGATTACTATTTTAACACATTGGCACACTAGAAAAAAGTTTTTTTTTTTCCTTTGGGGCCATGGTGTTTTATTAAATCAAGGTAGGTCAAGTGACAGTGAGTTATATATGCTTCATGAGGTCCAGGGTTCAAAACTAGCATAAGTTAAATACAACTACATGGCAATTAATGTGTTTAAAATCTGATTTATAATTTATTCCAATTCCCCAAGTTCCAGAAATAGACTCTCAATTGCAATTTAAAATGTTAAGCACTGCATTAGAGTTTCCCATTTGAACTTGCTTTGTTTCAATCAAGATATTGATTGAATTAGTTATTTTCGTCTAGGTGCATTTTTTTAAAGCTTACTCTATTTTAGTGAAAATTGATTCAGTTTTCTTTGATTTTCCTCCATAGTAATCAGATTTTTTTAATTTTTGAATTAGGTAGGTACTACCACCTTTTTGGCATTTTCTTTTTAAATACAAATCTCAAGTAGGGTTGATTCTATTAAAAACATTTATCTTAAATCTAAAATTGCCTTGAACAGTGAAGTTTAAGTTCTAGGTCCTGAAATTATAATTGCAAGTGCCCTCTTATACTTCATTAAGATAAACTCAAATGAATCTCTTGATGAGAGCTAGTCTTGCCTTCCTTTAAGGTTTCTTTAGGACTACAAGGCTGCTTTGGTAGTAATTTTTTGTCCATGGTTAAAGGTGTATGTGGCATCAGGCCAATTCCATTCTTTTGCTTTGTTTATAGCAAAATGAAGAAAATAGTTCTAATTTCTAAATAGAAACTGTTTCATAGACCTTCATCTTATGAGACACGGTGCTGTAGTCTTAGAAGAAATATGTCCCAAATTGATTCTGGTAATTTAGCAGTCAGCAAGTACAATAGAACACCTGTAAGTTGACCGCCCAAGGAACTGTCACAAACTGGTCAACATACAGAGGTGGTCAGCTTTAGGAAATAGCCTGCTGTATACTGATACATACATGTGGTGCATGTCTGGTCTATGAAAATTAGATTAACTTAAGGGGGTGATCAGTGTAGAGGGATGGTCAACTATGGAGGTTCTACTGTATTTGCTCAGTATTATTTGCCATGGCCTGTCCAAGGTATTGGGCAGATAGTGATGGATAATTTACACACTGTCTATTAACCTCAAACATTCCTACCTTTAAGACCTTCCATGATTATTCTTTCATATGATGATCAGTTTTGTGTGGCCTAGGGTATAACCCTATTTTCATAAAATCACTACGTCCTATTTCCATATAGGTTATATAGAGGGCTCTTGGTCATCATGAATCTGAATCACTATCTGATATGACGTACCATCCTTCGCTTTAATAAAAACTACATTTTAGCTATGTTTTTCACTTTTTAGCTGTATTCTTTCTTTTCCTTTCCGTTACCAAGAAAATGGGCTTTCTTTTTCTTACCTTTTTTTAGAAGAGTTAAATGTTTTTATGACTTCATGAGATTGTTGTATGTGTAAGAGCCTAGGTAGGACCCTACAAAAGCTCCAACAAAAGAGTAGAAGTTGGCTGGGCTCACTCTCTACCTAAGGGTCTCACTCCTGCTTTTCAACTCTAAGAAAGTATATAAAACATACTTATGCCTCAGCAAAATTAAAAGTTACAGGTTGTGAATGAAGCCTTGGGGTTTCTCTCATGTAATTGAAGTCAAGAGTGTTGATCCCAAAGATACGAGGAACCTATCACTCTGATATTTCTAGCAGTTAGGTCGTCAGTGGTTGTGATTGCTGCCTAACAGCCCCACATGGGATGACTTTAAACATTTCAGAGTGAACTTAGAATCACACGTCTAGAGTGAGGAAATGTAGAAGCAACTTCTAAATTCTAGACAACTCACAGCTTCTTTCAGGCCTGGCTTTAGGATTTCTCAGGATTTCTACTACCCAGGCAGTAGTGTCTTTAAGAGTAAAGCCCATGGGTGGCGCTTGTGGCTCAGAGGAGTAGGGCACCTGCCGCATATGCTGGAGGTGGCGGGTTCAAACCCAGCCTTGGCCAAAAACTGCAAATAATAATAATAATAAAAAAAGTAAAGCCCAGTGCAGAACATTTGCATTGGTTCAATTCTTGCCCTGCTACAGCTCCCACTTCTTCTCTTCTGATGATCAAATCTCTACAGTGATTATGTGAAGTGCTAGAGCCAAAGAGGTTCAGAAACCTTAAAGGATCAGGGGAGAGCTGATTGAGCTTCTGCCACTGCATCAGGTGCACAGGGAAGCAGTTCAGGGTGCTGCTGGCACCTGCTAGCATATCATCCTGTCATTCCAAGAGACACTTGGAACCTCTGCATCTCCTGAATACATTGGCTTAAATGTTTGGGGACTTCAACATTAAAGGGCACCAGGGATCCTTAAGGAGATATGGGAAGGCTGCAGGAGGGAGAACATGATCCAAACACTCTTACTTGAGCTGAAAAATTCTCACTTACAAGAAGAATATGTTGGGGGAGAGGCCAGGCCAGGCTGCCACAAGTCATTTGCTTCTGCTTCTGTTTTTGCCAGAGAAGCTATGCCTCCTCCTGCTTCATTGAGTGAGGTCTGCAGAGAAAATTCAGAGAGGTCTGCAAATTTGAGTAAGAATAAAATTAATATTTCTGTTTTCACAGCTTCTCAGCAATATTTAGCATTTCCTTCAATTAAAAATGTAGGCAACAGATTACTAATATTAACAGCATCTGTGTTTTTCTCAACAATAAAAATCATTGATTTTTCATATCACATTATATTGATTGCACATATCTTTAAAAAATCATGCTTATCACTGCTTAGAAATTATATTAGTAATTAAACCTGCTACCTAGTGTTATTCCACGCATTAATAAAGCAGCACACATATCTTAAGCATTT